TTTCCCCTTGGCATGAATATGGAGTCCACCCTGACTGGGGAACACTGTGTGAGGGAAACATGTGGGTCTCCAAGGGGATATTGTTGTTTCTTGTTGTTGAAGTGGAAGGAAGGTCTCAGGGTTCTGTGCGTGCCTTCACCCGGACCTTCATCGCTACCCCTGCCAACAATTCCAGGTGAGTGCTCCCCTCTGTGTAGGCAAACACAGCCCAACCTGGGCTCAGGGCTGTGGGAATGTGGCAGTTAGTGTCCTCTGGGTGTTCTCAGTGTTGTGGAAAGCCAGCAGGTTGACCCAAGAAACAGTCCTGTAAAGGCGGTAAGAGCATGGGCTCTGGAGTTAGAACACTGAAAGTATCCAGGTTTCTTTCGTTTCCTCTTCGTGACCCTGGCACTCACTAGATTTATACCTTAGTGAAATCACATCACCTTGCTGTGATACTATGTTTTCCTCTAAAAATGGGATTAGACTGCCCTCTCCCTTGGCCTGTTTAACGGAGTAAATGCACTGGGATTTGAAGTACAAATCTAATGAAGTTGATAGATAATCTATCCCAGGTTGGACTCAGTGGGAGTGGCAGAGCTACCAAGCAGGGGATCTGGGACTCAGGTACAGAAGGGGTGTGGGAGGAATCTGGTTGCTGAGTGGCAGTCAAAACAGGATCATTGTTGAAGGTGTGGGGTTGTCTATACATCAGTTGTCTGAAATGCCCATTTTCCCTCCAGCCTGTGTATCATAAATGATGAATTGTTTGTGAGGGATGCCACCCCTGAGAAGACTGAGAGTGTGTTGTCCACCCAAGTGCCCACACCCTCCTGTGGCACTGGATCCACCCTGTCTCAGGAGCAGCAGGAAACTGTGGAGGTTTCCTCCACCCCATCTGGGATGAGCCTCTAGTGGTCTCAGAAGTGAGTGATGGGTGGCATGGGGATAGGAGGGAGCTGGGAGGATTGAATAGTGGGAACTTGCAGGTAATTATTTTAGATATATATATATTTTTTACAAAAGTTCACATCTGAAAATACTTTAGTTTTATGCCAATACATTGAAATATATTGTAAAACCCAGTTTTCCTACTGTACATACTGTTTTCATACTTCCTTTGTTTATTATTAGCTCCAATGTAGTTTCCTCTAAGTATATGTTAAGCTACCTTATTCCTGCTAAGATCTGTATATTAAGCAATTGAATTTCAGTAGGCCATAAGCTATTATTGATATTTGTCTTTTCACTGCTTTTTCAGCATTACATGCAGTGCCACTTGGTCATTCCAGTGCATACAGCTTGGTAAACTTGCAGGATTCTTTTTGTGGCCTAGATTTAGCAGTGACATTGTGTGGTCAAAGTGTCTCCACTTTGGTCCTAACAGAGGTCATGAGTCTTTCCCCACCACATGTGCTTTTAGTACAATGACAAGATGATATCAGAACTTGAAATTCTTTACTCATTAAAAAGTGAAGTCTGAGAATTCAGAGGTAAAAGGAAACCGATCCCCAGGCCTTCAGTAAGGCTAAGTGGGCAGAAGTCAGGTCGCCTGGGGATGAATCTCAGTGCTCCTTGCTCTGCTATCTTCCCAATGATCTCTCTTGACTTTCTCTAGATGAAGGGCAAGATCCCAGAAGAGGCCTTCATGCAGTGACCTAGGATCTTGTAAGCAAAGTCTGAGAAAGGAGGCCTTCTGTGTTCTCTTTTTCACCCTCATCATATTTGTTGTCTCTCTTCCAACCTGAGGCTACATCCATTACTAAGGTTGGAGCCCGACTGTCCAGGAAGCCAGTTTACCTTGGAGCCTGCCAGTTTGTACTCTGCCCATTCCTGATCCTTGTTTATTTCCATATTAAAGAGTTATGCTGCACATTGTATGTTTTGTGTCTTGGATTGCTCCTTCCCTGTCCCAACTATGAGCCAACGGGGCCAAGACCAGAAGGTCCAGTCTTCCCCTTCATTTATGTCAGTCTCTAGCATTTACATCAGGCCTTTGCAGTGCTTGAAAATTATAGAATAGGGACTCCATTACTGGACTACCTTAAAATCCAAGCTTTTCTCCCTGTACCCTGATAACTTTCTCTCTACGACTTCAGAGTAACTCACAAGCTGTGACACTCACTTCTATAAACAAACTCAACAGCTTTATCAAGTAGAGTGCCATATTTATTGTAGTATTTGGATTTATTAATCGTTTCACTAGTCTAAAACCATGCTAACCTTTTTATTAGCTTCTTGTTTTATTTCTAAAGTGTCACTGACAAAGTTTTTGAGTGTGTGTACCTATTTTCTTTTTACCACAAATCCTGTGTTGTTTTTTTACCTTTTTAATTTTAAATATCTATTGATTTATAGGAAGCTTCAAAAATTGTGCAAGGAGGTCATGTATACCCTCCCTCCACTCACCTCCCAATGATAACATCTTGCATTAGTATAGTACAATATCAAACCAGGAAATGGCTTTTGGTACAGTCCACAGGGTTTACTGAGATTACACCAGTTTTACATGCACTCATTTCCATGCACTTTTACCAGCCATGTAGATTCTGTGACTCACACCACAAACAAGATGCAAAACTGTTCTATCACCACAAGTTTCCCTCATGCTACCCTTTATACCAGAGCACATTTCCCTGGCCCCACATCCTAACCTCTTTCAAACACTCTTGTAATTTTAAAAATGTCACATAAATGGAATCTCCTAGTGTGCAACCTTTTGGAAGGGATTTCTTTCACTCAGCATAACTCCCCTGAGAGCCATCCAAGTTAAGTGTATCAATAGTTTGTTCCTTTTTATTGCTGAGCAGTATGCCATGGCATGCATGTACCCTGGTTGGTTTGACCATTCACCTGTTGAAGGCCATCTGGACTGTTTTCACTTTTTAACTATTATGAATAAAATTGTTACGAACATTCATGAACAGGTGTTTGCATGAACACAAGTTTTCATTTCTCTTAATAAACTGTCTTTGTGTGACTGGTGTATTATATGGTAATTGCATGTTCGGTTTTGAAAGAAACTGCCAAATTGTTTTGCAGAGTGGCTGTACCATTTGCATTCCCATTAGGGACATAAGAGTGATTCACTTCATCTCTCCATCGTTTTTCCTGCATTTGGTAGTGTACATATTTTTTTAGCCAATTTTTAAAATTATTTTTTAATTTATCTTTATTGTTGAATGTTTTACAAATGTCCCTGTTTCCCCCATTGATCCCCTCTCCCTCAGGCCTTCACCACACCACTGTCTGTGTCCATGGGTTATGCATATATACATATAAGTTTTTAGATAAATCTCTCCCCACCCATCCACATACCCACCTTCCGTCTGAGATTCATCAGTCTTTTCCATGCTTCTATGTCTCTGGATCTATTTTGTTCATCAGTTTATTTTGTTCATTAGATTCCGCATATGAGTAAGATATGTGATACCTGTTCCTCTCTGACTGGCTCACTTCCCTTAGCATAATACTCTCCAGGTCCCACCATGCTGTCTCAAAAGGCAAGAGATTCTTCGTTTTTACAGCTGCATAGTATTCCATAGTGTGGATGTCTGAGAAGATGCTTGATATGATTGCAATCTTCTTGAACTCATAGAGACTTGTTTTGTGCCATAACGTGGTCTATTTTTGGGAATTTTCCATGTGCACTTGAGAAGAATGTATATTCTGTTCCTTTTGGATGAAATGTTCTGTAAATGTCAATTAAACCCATTAGATCTAGTGTGTCATATAAGGTCTCTGTTTCCTTGTTGATTTTTTTGTCTGGAATATCTGTTCAATAAAGTCAGTACTGTGTCTGTTTTGCTGTCAATCTCTCCTTTAAAGTCCTCCAGAATTATTTATTTTTTTCAGCCTGTTTGAGTCTTTTGCTCTGAGGTGGGTTTCTTGTAGACAGTATATGTGTGGGTCATGTTTTCTAATCCTTTAAGCTACCCTATGTCTTTTGATTGAAGCATTTACTCCATTTATACTTAAGATTGTTATTGTTAGGTACTTATCTATTGCGATTTTTCCCCTTTATTCCTATGCTTCTCTCTCTCAATATTTCTTCTTCTTCTTAAACCAGTTCCTTTAACATTTCTTGCAATGCTGGTTTGGTAGTGCTAAACTCCTTTAGCCTTCTTTTATCTTGGAAACTCTATTTCACCATCTATGTTGAATGATAGCCTTGCTGGATAGAGTATTCTTGGTTTCAGATCCTTGTTTTGCATTACCTTGAAAACTTCATGCCATTCCCTTCTAGCCTGTAGAGTTTGTGATGAATAATCAGATGACAGCCTTATGGGGGTTCCTTTGTAGATAATGGATTGCTTTTCTTTTGCTGCCTTTAAGATTCTCTCTTTGTCTTGAATTTTTGGCATTTTAATTATGATGTGTCTGGGTGTGGGCCTCTTTGGATTCTTCTTCCTTGGGACTCTCTGTGCCTCCTTAACTTGTGTGACTTTTTCCTTCACCAGGTTAGGGAAATTTTTTGCCATTATTTCTTCAAACAGGATCTCTATCCCTTGCTTACTTTCTACATCTTCTAGTACCCCTGTGATGTGAATATTATTGTTTCATGTTGTCCCACAGCTCCCTTAGACTGTCTTCCTGTTTTTTAATTGCTTTTTCTTTTTGGTTCTCTGGTTGAGTGATTTTTTTTCTACCCTGTCTTCTCATTCACTGATCCGATCCTCAGCTTCCAACAATCTGCTGTTTATTCCTTCCAATACTTTTTAAATTTCTGCTATGTCATTCTTAATTTCCTTCATAGTGTCTATATCTTTTTTGATGCTGTTGAGCATCCTATGATCAGTATTATGAGCTCTATATCTGATAAATTGCTTATCTCCATTTCACTTAGCTCTTCTTCTAGAGAATTCTCTTGTTCTTTCATTTTTGGCTTTTTTTTTTTTTTTTT